TTGCTGGAATGCTCCTTTTTGTGCCAGTCTAGTGTTGTGCGAATGTGCCGAATTAATTGTTTTTAGTCTATTGAAAATACATCTAGGCTGTTTCTCTCTCACTAATTTATGGAATGTGTTGATTGTTCCGGTAAACAATCTCTCTTTGACTGAAGGCCAGTTTAACTGGGTGTGTAAGATATCTAAGTCGGCATCCCAACGTGCACCTGTTGCTAGCCTAGCCGCTCGATTCTGCACAACTTGTAGTTTGTCTATTTGAGTTTGTGGCGATGATGACATAAGGGCACAGCAATAGTCAAGGTGCGATAGAACCAGGGTCTGTAGTACAGTTTTTAACATGTTGGGGGTCAAGTTATCCTTATGTTTCCTAACTGACGCAAGTGCGCCTGCCATTTTCAACTTTGTATTGTTGACCTGCAGTACCCATGAAAGCTGCTGGTCTACTGTAACACCTAGTAATTTTGCATCTTCGACCTGTGTAATGCTTATGCCATCAACGGAAAGTTGCAGTTTTGGTTCCCTTTTAAGTTTCTGTTGTGTACCCATGACGATTGATTTTGTTTTACCTATGTTCAGAACTAGCTTGTTTGTTCTCACCCAATCCCATATCCGTGACAAGTCTGCCTGCAACTTATCTTGTAATCCTGTTTCACCTTGTTTGACCTTCTCTTTCTCATAGATGCTGAGTGCTAAGCAGAGAAAGCAGTATGTACCATTTTGAAAGTCTTTGGGGTTTGAACCCGACCGGGGTTTGAACCTCCCGGTTACAAAGCGAGCACTCTACACGATTGAGCTATTGCACGAGTCAATTTAACATAATTTTTCGTAATTTCACAACATTAAATTTTAAAGTGCCAGGTATATTTTCTAATGAAATATACTACTAAAATAATATATGGATGTGAAACTAAGAAAACTATGTTGAACCAAGTTTTGAACCTCCTTGGTTATACACTCGGCCAAGTTCTTTTTTTCTGAGCGCGCTACCCAGAAGTTTGGCGGAGACTGTCGATGTCCGCCGCCGGTGCCAAACTCAACATTCCTGCGGCCTGACACCGGACTCGTGTGGGCGGGTTACTGACGAAACCTCGGCTTCAAGAAGACGGCAAAAAAGAAAAGTAAATAAACGAAACACCAGTTATCGTCTTGTTTATGCACATGCAGCCGCTTGTTGGAAGACCGAGTGAAGTCTCGATCAGACCCCTTGGGACGTGCAACTCCACCAATCAACGGGGGATGACTTAATTAGTCTCTCCTATACTCCGTGGGTTGTTGGGAAAAGGTTATATCTAGCCGGTCATAGAATTCCATGGGTTACGTTATTTCTTAACCTGAATTCGACTTCATTATTAGACGTTATCGAAAAAATCTCTCGTACGATTGCCCAAAAATTATAACTATCCAAAGTCTAGTTTTGCCAGACACTCCGTGAATACAGAATAGCATTCCAAAGAAGTTGTTTCCAAACCAAGAACAACATAATTTACCGTTAAAGTTGTCCGGATCCCCCATGCAGACCCTCCTCATAGAGACTAGAAACGTCTAGCTAGAGAGAATGGCTGCTATAGTTATACGTGTACGTTAGTAATACAGAAATATGAAACTCCGTGGTCGGCTAATTGTACTGGCAAATTATTCACCCCATTTGGCTAATGATTATTTTCTTGAAAATTACTAAAATCATTATACAGGATAAATTTTAAGAACCGAAAGGTAGTGGTAGTGGATGCTACTTGAAACGTCTGACAGTTTTCAAAAGCTATCCAGTAGTTTAAGTAACAGTTTTCTTATGTATCTCATTACGCGGATGTCTAACCTTCATCGACGTACTAAAAGTATTACTTTTTCCAGCAGTGCTGTAGAGATCTGTCTGACATGTTGAAGTTACCGGTGTGTGTGTGTGACTGCTCCGCTCCATCTGGGGTTGTTTATATTTATATAGCAGCAGCCTGGATGTTGGACGGAGGATATAAGGCTGTGAATAGTGGACTACATTGCTCACATCCGCGCACATTGATTGCTGAATCTGTTTCAATAAAACACCAATACTAGAAATAATTTTTTTCGGAAAATATATAGGTCAGGTCAACGATCACACTAGTGCTGTTAGATTTTACACACACGCACGCACGCACGCACACAACAAACAGACAAACAAACAGACAAACAAACACGTATGTTCAAAATGTAGACCTGTTTTTTCCATCTCTGTTTGACATGCATGTTCCTATGGATGGCATCCCTCACACCAAATTCCTGTGGCCACGGCAGCGGGGTATGTTAGCACAGACCACACCACTGACGTGTTCGCGAAACAACGTGAGACAAGACCTGTCTGCCGCGAAACCTCGCCGACATTCCTTCTGCTCCGTACGTTTCCAGCCCCAGCCCCGCAGTCGTGCTGTGTGTTACACGCCCTGCAAGGCCGGACAAACGGCCGACTCTCACGGCACAGGTCCCGCCGGATCAACAACATGTCGTCCGGCTGCAGGAAGAGGCGAAAGGGGCCATTTACATGACGTAAGTACGTTTGGATCTGAACGTTTTGCTATACGATTTACAGCGTGGCTCTACTACAGACTGCAGTGGAGAATGTGTTACTACTACTGAGTCTGTGTGCGTGCTGTAGCGTGGTGCTGCTACTCTCTGTGCAGAAATGGACAGTTCAGGCTGTCTGACCGTCCTGTGGCAGACGAGGCTGTTAAACAACGTTGCGATTTCCTATCCTAGGCCTATCCTATCCTGAGATAAGATAGAATGTTAATGCCATGCTTGAGGAGTAGGGTGTGGGAGGGGTTTGGTTGAGGTGCCCAGAATTAAGGGCGACAAATGACTGATTTTTAATCTCTTTCACAAGGATCTGCACGGGGGATGACTTGATTAGTCCCTCCTAGGTTCTTTGAGTAGATGGAAAAATATTAGAAATTAGCGAAAGAAGTTAGCCAGCCACAGAATTCCATGGGTTACGTTATTTCGTATCCTTAATTCATCGTTTAAGCGTTATTGAAACATTAGTCGTATGGCTTAGCCGAACGCCAGATTGTCGCAGACTAGTTTTGCCAGACACTCCATGAATACAAAATAACATTCCAAAGAAGTTGTTTCCAAACCAAGAAACACATGATTTGCCGTTAAAGTTTCCCCGATCCCCCATGCAGACCCTCCTGATACTAGATGAGACTAGAAAAGTCGCCCCATTTGGCTTATTACTATTTTCAATGAAAATTAATAAAATTATTGCACAAGAAAACTAAAGCAACGGGGTTTAAAGGTAAATCAAGGAGGGCTGACAACGCTTACACATGGTAAATTCAGGCAGGCAGGCCGGCAAGGCTATAACGGCCCTGTAGGAAAAGCAAAGATTTCGGATTGGACAAATCCGCACTTGATTTTAGGAACAACGCCCTGCCTTTCTCATAATATCTAATGGAATAACCCTGGAGTCGTTCACGATGAGAGCGATTACCTTCTGATTCACCGTGAGTTTTTTTTTATCGGGCTGAGTTATAGATAATGCCGTATGTCTATGTCGTGCATGGGAGACGTTAGCAGATGTTAGAACGGTATCGTAGCGGGAAAAACATTACAGGTGAATCGTGCAATGTATGCCACGGGACTTCCTGAAACCTTACGATGGTGGCTGAGTTCCCTCGGCGTGTGGCCGCGCCTGCTCGCCGTTTGTGTACACTGGCGTTAACCGGGTCAGCTCTCTGCTGAGGACAGATAGACGTCAGGCACATAGGCGTCCTCTCAACCAGACACTTCCGGGTGCTGGAAAACTCTTCTTCCCTCGAACTATAGCCGCGATGCTTTACCAATACCTGCTAGTGCAATACGCTACGGTTCGCCCTAATTATAGCCCGGCACATTAGGTCACCCCTACTCTTTTTGATAGGTGTGCACGTGTACATGTTTGACGCCTGATGACGAGGCTTTATAAGTCGCCGACATCCAAAGTGAAAGATGCAATATCTCACGACATGTCTAAAGACTGAAAGAGTACTGGTAGTCGAGATTGGTTAAAATGAAATCCATAGACCATCTCTGGTCAGCTAAC